TTGTTGTTGTTGTTGTTGTTTGCCGTAGTCACGTGATTTGGGGAGTGCTCAAATGAACTGTTCCGGTATACGGTCCAATGAGGACATTCACTAACTCTCGCGAGACTTCAAGTGGCGCGAATAAATAAGAGGACATCTGGCAAACGAAGCTTCTGAGGAATTGTTTCCTGTTTTCCGAAAACATTTAATCATATTTCGTTTGTCTGTTGTTTTTATAAACCTACAAAAAGGTTGTTTTAGTTCATAAATCGAAACTATGTCGGACTGTTTGTCAGAAGACGGCATCAACCAGGAGGAGGCGGAGGACGACGTCTTGACTCCGGCGAAGCTGATCTCTAAACTGGAAGAAGTGAGCGACCTTACCGTATTTGCTCTGCTTTCAGTGGAAACACCCTGCTGTAAATATGTCTACAGTCGTGTTTGTGTTTGGCTCTTAGGCTTGGCTGAATGAGAAGTTCTCCCCGGAGCTGCTGGAGAACAGGTCGGAGATGGTGGAGTGTGTGATGGAGCAGCTGACTCACATGGTGAACTACCTGCAGCTCATCACACGTCACTTACAAAGAATAACAAGACATCTTCACATCTTCTGTTTAAATGCTTTATCAGATCATATATCCGTTTTATAAGGATCTCTTCATTGCAATATGCAAGTAACAACTTTTGATTCTAGGTTTATAAATATTTTATTTCAATAAGTGCATCATATTTTTTAGATTATATAGATTTTAGTGAGACATATATAATTAAAAAAATATTTCAAACCTTAATTGCGTATATTTTAGTATGTCTTATAAAGTTGTGCTGTTCTCCTCGAACAGGAATCCAACTTGCAGCGAGTAAAAGCGGGCGATGCTATGGCCAGTGTTCATCGCATGGAAGTAGACAGGATTCGTTTTGTCCTCAGCAGCTACCTGCGTTCTCGTCTGCAGAAGGTCCGTAAGGCTTGAAGCACTGCACGGCCTCTTTTTGTGCGTAGATAAGCCTCATCTTTAAATCATCTATGTCTAGATTGAAAAGTTTTTCCCTCACGTCCTGGAAAAAGAAAAGTCTCGAGCCGATGGACAGCCGTCTCTGCTGTCTCCTGAGGAGTTTGCCTTTGCCAAAGAGTGAGTATAGAAGATCGATGCTTTAGTAAGAATATGTTTGTGGTTTAAAAAACAAATAAACAAAATTATGCTCATTTCTGCGCACAGGTACTACGCCAACACAGAAAGCTACCTAAAGACTGTAGCGTTGAAACGCATGCCGGCCAACCTACAGACTGTAGATATGCTGAAAGCAGGTAAAGATCTCTTTTTATACTGTCTTCTTGTTATGAGTCAAAGTGATGGTGACATTTGCTGATTGACCTTTATAATAATTAAATCCCAGTGCCTGAGCCCTGCTTGGACTCCTTTGTTTTTCTGCGAGTGAAGGAGAGGCAAGAAAATATTTTTGTCGAACCTGAAACGGACGATCAAAGGTAATTGGTTCTCTGTGAGCAAGTTATTCATTCAGCATCCAGAAGGTGGCAGTGTTATTTATCTTCATATTGATTTAAAAATATGCTGTCTCTCTTGTGTTAGAGAGTATGTTGTGGATCTCGAGGAGGGCTCCCAGCACTTGATGCGTTATCGCACCATAGCGCCGCTCGTTTCCAGCGGAGCCGTGCAGTTAATTTGAACTTGGAGGTAAGCGGCGATGTTGTAATTCTCATTAACTCGGTAATGACCTCCCTTGAACCGACAGCTGCTAAATCACGTCTGCAGATGTTGCAGAAGGTTTGCAGTTAAATCTGGATTTATTTTTAGCTCCAAACTCTTGGATCTCTTAGCAACACAGTAAAGTTTGTATTTATTGTTTGCAATCTACCAGATGTGTTGTTTTAATTACAATGTGGAATTAAATGTAACTAACTCAGTCATTTTTTATGTTGCAGGGTTGTTTGTGGGCTATTTTTTTTGCTGCAGGAGATCATAAACCTGAGTGCCTGATTTCCACCTGTGCTGTAATAAAGAAAGAACTGATTTATCACAGAAATTACACCAGGAAACACAAACTGCTTCCTCACTGTCACCTGGAAAAGACACTAACTTGTGTGACATAAACATCTGGGGCTTCAGAAGTGAAGATCAGGATTGAACCAGCTTTTGTACTGGTGCTATTTTTAGACAGTGTTTCTGTGTGTGATGTTTATTTTTTTATGTTTGTGAAACAATATTATGTAGTAATTTATCACATTCTCTCCTTTTGTCATCGTATCAAATCATCCACGACTCAATAACCAAATGACTTGCAGGAGATTTGTTATCGGTTCACTTGGCATCAGTGCTCCTGTCCTTTTAGGTTGCACATGTCCATGTGTGTGCGTTTGTGTTGAAGACTGTTATTCATGTAAATACTGAATGTGTAGTTGTAGTTTGGAAGAATTTATGGGACAAACATCATCTTCCGTGAGCTATAATTGTTGCAACGTTGTTATGTAAGCACTTCAGAGGGTGCAATCAGTGCTTATTGTTTGCCCCAACACAAATTGCTCAGTAATTGGAACTAATAAAAAGCAGAAAGGCCAGTGGGCTTATCTGAACAGATTTGATGTCAGCGTGCTGTTTATCTCATTATCTATTGCATTTAACCTACTCTTTTGGATCTTACAATGTCAAATAGGATTTTTGAGAAAAATAAAACAAAGCAAATAACTAGTTTCAGAAAGCAGTCATTTGGTTGACTTAAACTGGTTCACGATGGCCACCATAAAGTGATCTTAGCAAAAACTAAATACCGCAAAGCGGAGACATAATGACCCCCGCACGCACAAATGCACCAGAACTCAGATGTCTTTATTCATAATAAAATGTCATGCTACTATGTGCATTCCAAAATCGTAGTGGTTTGGGTGGGGGTCTTTTTTTTTGGGGGGGGGGGGGGCACTGATTGTTAGGCCTGATGGATAGCCCCTCATCAGAGCTAAACAACAAAAGAAATCTGAAGCTTCTATGTTGAACAGTTTCTGAGTTACAAGCATTTTTTCATGTCCAGACACCCCCTCTTTGTTTGGAGCCCCCTCCTCAAATATGGGGTCTATCATAAAACCGTTGGCTGGAGCAGTGTAGGTCAGACTCATCTACAGACCTGCCAAATTTCATGTTGACCAGTGCAGGCGTTTTTGTGCCACGGTTGACCAAAAATCACTGAAAAAAAAAAAAGAAAAGAAACCGTACGAAAACAATATGATTCCTGCTTACACTTCGTGTGCGGGGGTCTAAATAAAAATGTCTATAACTCAAGTCAATTTAACAAATATAGATTTAAGATTTAGCGTGGTAGTAGCTGAGCAATGTTCCAAATACAACACATTAAACTCAACACATAACTTTACCTAAAACCTTGACATTTACTATTGGAGTCAATCCAGTTTCAATGAAATTTCTCTAGTGGTACATTATATATTCCAACTACGTTGCAAAACATCTCTTCAGAAATAACCAGACTTGTCCTTTATCTCTGTGGCAGATGCCTTTATTAAAGTGGACTTTAATTTTGTGTCCATATGCATCCCGGTAAGCCTGAGAAGTACGTGGAGGACGTGTGTAATGCGACTGTTGCCTGCTGGGACTTGTTCGTAACCCAGCCTTCCTCAGCATCACACATGCTTTTGGACAAGGCCAGCCGAGCCGAGGCTCCGATCCAGCCTCAGGGCCTCGGTGGGATTGGTGTATACTGACAGGTCTGAGAATAGAGCTCTGGGATGGCTGGGACATTTTCCACAAAGCAGAGTCAAATTACATAGGAAAGAAGCTTAGCCTTACATGCCCCCTCCACTACATCAACACACAAAACAGGATTTTACTCAAACCAGGATGTTTTTTAAATAAAGACCTTTATAAGAAAAATCACAAGTTACAACTAAAGAATGTGGCTTCAGTGGGAAGATCAAGCAGATTTAAATATGGGAAGACAAATAATAAACCTCTCGGCTGATTGGTCAGGAGATTGACGGGGGCGGAGCTAAAACATGCTGAGCTGGTATAAACAAGGTTTTTCCTGTGGGTAGAAGGATTGACTGTATCAAACCTGTTACAGTCAATGCTGATTGGACTTAGTAGGTGACAATCTGCATCTTTAAACAGTTTCAATTTTTATGAAAAGGTTAAATTTTATGCATGAATTTCACATCAAGACTAATAAGCCAATTTTATGAACACATCTGTGGTATTCCTGGGTAGTTTCTCTGCAAATTCCAGACAAACGCCGAGGATCGTATTCCTATCAGGACTATCAGCATGGAGATGTCCAGTCCAATGTAAGTGAAATGCACGGTTCTGCAGCTGTGGGGTCATTTATCTTGCTGATCTTGAGATATATTTTTTAAAAGTACCGAGAAGCATAATCTCAGCCAATTGAGCCACACTTCCAAGGCAGCAGTCTTTTAAAATCACTCTTTGTTTTCATCACAAGTGTCCTGTCGGTTGGCCTGGGGTCGATGGCCCAGACAGCCGGACTCGTGGAGATTGCCGTCAGGTTGTGCTTGAACCAGCGTAGACATCTGTGTCCTCATGTGTGGGTCCCCATTCTGAAGCCCCTGAGGCCTTGCATCCGTTCTCCGGTTTCAGAGCAGCCGGCCGTCGACGTCACCAGCCACCCGAACCACCCTCTCTCATCTTTCTTTGATGATCTGCACAGCGACAATGATGGCGACGCACCGATCCTCCTCCAGAACAAGCGTGTGGTGTTTGCGGACTCGCTGGGATTCTCCCTGGCAGCTGTGCGAGTGTTTTCCGAGGCAGAGGATGAGTCCGACCTCGGCCCGCTGCCGTCGCTGCAGGAGGGTTTGGGAAGCATGACGGGGGACGGCTACAGCTGCACCGTCAGCACCTGCTGCCCAGGGACCCGGCTGAAACTGGGCTTCCCGCAGCCCTCTTTGGATTTCCAGGCCTTTCGCGCCAAACTGGCAGAGAGCATGGTGACCCTGGAGAACTGCGTTGTCACCGAGCAGGCCCTCCAGGGTACCGTCCGGGTCAGGAACGTCCACTTCCGCAAGGAAGTGCGTGTGCGCATCACCTTTGACTCGTGGCAAAGCTTCAGAGACTTTCCCTGCACGTACCTGCAGAAACGCTTCGGGGGGCCTCAGACAGACATCTTTGAATTTGAAATAGCCATTCCCAAAATCCTCGATGCCAAGAGGAAGATAGAGTTCTGCTTAATGTATTTGCCAGCTGGGCAGAGCGAGCCATTCTGGGATAATAACAACGGACAGAATTACAGCATCGTAGTGTGTGTGAGCTCACACCTTTGCCACGGGGAAAATCAAAGTGAAAAGGCATGACTTACAACCAATGAATGGTTACTGTTTGTAACGTGCATTTAGGTTGGGATTGATTTTGACTGTTTTTCTCTTGGCTGTGCTTTGTTTAAATAAACCCTGTTGTCTTCTGTTTACAGTCTAATCTTTTACTCCACTCCACTTTCTAGTGATGCGTCCTACATTTTGAACAGTCTGAAATTTATGAGTTACTATGAGTTGTGCAACAGGGAGGGGGATCCCATTCGCTGTGGGCAGTGCTAGCATAGGTCAGAGATCACTGGGCAGGCTCCAGCAGTGGCCCTAGAGGAGGAAAGAGGCTAATCTTAGCCGGGCCGGACGTCACAGTTGCTGCAGGAAACTGATCCGAGCTGCCACCTTTCACCTAATTTGATCACCTCAAATGGCTCTTATCACTTCAGCTGTGATTGAAATCGTGTCATAATTACTCTGGAGATGCATTTTAACACAGCAAAGTGTTTGGCATGGATGCAGCCAAGCAGAGTTAAGATCTGAGAGATTTGGCAATTTGAAAACAGACATATTAAAGGTATAATATCCATATTCATCGTGCTCTTTTCAAAGTCAAATATCAGTGAAACAGAGCAAAGTCACAGGATCATAAAAAGAACAATAAAAGATCAAAGGGAGCACCAAAATCTCAACAAGTATGGGTCATTTTCTTTTGAATATACACAGCAGTTTTGTATTGGCTTCACTGTTTTCTTTTTTAAAGTTGTGCATTCTTTGACGTAGATGTATAATAAAAAACACACTTTTCTAATTCAGGCAAAAGGGAAGGTGGAAGCTTGTGGGACTTGTTGGGGGAAGTATTGTTTACCCAGGGCTCACTGCAGGGAGGGACCCCCGACAAAGCCCAGAATGAAAAGGTTTTGAAAATATACGTAAGAAAGATTGATCAAGTGAGCACAAGGCTCAGTCAGATGATCTGTGCTACGCTCCTGGGTTGAAAGCACCTTCGACCGATCTCAAGATATGTACGTCTCAGTGATTTAAATAATGCCCAACCTAGTGTCCACGCCGCCTCAGCGCCCCACGCTGATGTTGCACACTTTGCAGCTTGGGTCTTTCTTGGCGTCAGCTGTGGTCAGACTCATGAGCTGGTGGTGCCCGCTGATCTGCTGCACGGCGCCCTGATCCAAATGAACCGGCCCAGCGAAGAGCACCTCCAGGATGACGTCGCTGGCGTGGCAGTACACAGGCTCCTCCCCCTGCCTCTGAGGGGCAGCGTAGGTCAGGAAGGGGTTAGAGGTCAAGTCCAGCATCGGGAGGCGGCTGCGGCAGAACGCGTCCCCTTCCGTACCGACCGGCGCCAGAACCAGCACCACGTAGTGATAGGCCGTGTACATGCAGTAAAAGTCTGCAAAATACAGGCAGATGTTGGGGTTCAGCAGGTGGCCGGCTGAGATCTGGAACCGAAGGGGCCCGTAGGGGGAGTCTTTGGGAGGAAGTCCCGTATCAAACTCTGTGTTGCAGCTGAAGAAGACTCCGTGCAGTTTGCCGTTGATCGGAGAGCCGTGACTCCCGCTGTTGTCTTTCAGAGCTGGACGCATCAGGCCCCCACATTCCCTCCTAATTTAAGGGGGGCAACAAAGGGACATTGCAGTGAACTCCTGTGAGCGTGGCTGTAACTGAATAAAAGGAAAGGAATACTCGCACTGACCTGACAAAGTCAAAGTACTCCGGGTGCTGGTTGCGGTAGAACACGGAGAACTTCAGTAGCCGCCCTGCAGAGCCTTTGGCCTTGTCCAGGAGCTGCTGCAGGTGTTCCATAGCGTAGTCTGCAAAGTTGAACAATAAGACCATATTTAAAATGTTGGTAAAGACTCAGTTTGCCACTTTTTGTTTTTAGTTTGTTTAATGATTTTATTCTTTTAGATCTCACCTCCGGTGCAGAACTCCACCACCTGGCTCCACTCTGACACCAGGTAGTCACCATCCGGCTGCTTGACAGCTGTTTGAATAGAAACACAGTACTCGGTCCGCGGGCTGAGGAACCAGTGTCCTCTGACCGCCATGGGGAGAGGCACAGCCTTGGCCACCAGCTTTGTTGGCACATCCTGAATGAAGTACCAAAGAGGTCATGTCAGAGCCGGGGCGCAGGGTTGGAGCAGGCTGACTGTGTTTTTAAATAATTAAGTATAACTGGCAGAACAATATGGAAGCATTTAAGTGACAAATGCTTCCATAGAACAATGGTTTTCCTCTTAAAATGTTGCTGCATTTACTATTTTATACATTTAACCCTGTAACAAGGATAAATCTTATCAAATCAGTAGCTCTGCTTTGGTCAAGGCCTACAAGAAGAATAGCTAATTAGAAACTCACAACATATCTCTTGTTTTTGTGCCACTTTATTTGAGAGTGAACATCACCTCAACTCAGAAACATGTTACTCAGTTCTTTGCTGGTCATGGCTTATTTAAAACACTGTTTTTTTTGTTTGTTTTAAACTCGGGCTGAAACTAGATTTAATTTGTGTTGGTTACTTCCTTTTACAGAAAAATAAGTTTGTCAAAATGTTTAACTTCCTTTTTTTTCTTTTAATTTTTGCTTCTGAAGAATAAAGTGTTAGTTTAAAAAAAACCCAGAGGCTTAACAGGAAATTTAACAAAAGAAAACTCAACCAAAAACCGCAAGTTATGCAAATGTGCAAAGAGTGTACAGCTGCTAATTCTCTTCAGAAATAGGGCTCAAGGGAAAAGTTTTGAACAGTAAATATCCTACCTGCTGTAGATAGTTTTTTTAAACAACCTTATATTGGAGAAATAGAGTTATATTCTGACTGGATTGATTTGTTAAAGTTTGTCAAGTTGAAAGTGGATTCCCTTAATTTTTGACAGCTCTACATACAAATTTTTAAATTATATTTTATGTAAAGCACCACTATTTCTATGCCACTATCAAGTTTGCATAAAGCTATTATTCTAGCAGAAATACGATATTTTCTCATATTTCCTTAGCAGCTAGCTGCTGCTGCTGCTGTGTGTTTGTAAACCACAATATATTTAGTGCAAATATTTTAATATGATAAAGTAATAAAACACATTTTTCACAAACTACCGTATGAATTTTTTTTTTAGATTGGACTTGTTTTAGGACAGCAGTGATCTGCTTGTCTTTTGGCCACTCTCATAGCTTTTGATTTAGTCCAAATTAAACTTTATTTCTCCAAATTGAGGTAATTCAAAGAGCGATGTGAAACAGGTAAAACAATTATTACAGAGGTTTGAAATTTAAAAAAGTACAAATACTTTGTAACCTAAGTAGAAATTTTGGTTATCAATAATTTTCTGCAGCAATTATTTTTCAGACCACTTTTAATTTATACTTATTGCATTTTCTCACAACCATTTGTACTTCCTACTATTTATATTTTTAAAATGTAAGAAGGGTTTCTTTTCTATTTCATTCCAGCTTGTCATTGTTTCAAAATTTAAAAAAACCATCTAGTTTAACACCTCCCAGATAGGTAACTTAATTGTGGTTGTATGAGAAGTATAATTATACCATTCTGACACCCTGTTGGTTTCGATGTGATCTATCCTGCATGACACAAACACTCCAGGACACATCAGATGTATGTAGCTTAATATAAAGATGACTGTGGCAGATATAACTGCAGCTAAAACAGGTATCCCAATTTTGTCAACATGAGCATTTTAATACACAACATCTTCATTAGAAAACATTTTTAGGGAGGTGGAGCTTTTGTCCTTAAAGGCTTGTTTTTGTTTTTCTTTACATTACTTTTACTTTCATTCTTCAAGTAGCTTTAAAACCAGTACTTTTTCCTTGAGTCAAACACTCAAGTTGATACTTCAAACTTCCACAGAAGTATTTTTAAATTCTAGTATCCATATTTCAACTTGAGCAATGAATGTGAATATTTTTGACACCTCTGAATTATTATTCAGAACTTTTCCACAGAAATCTTGTTCTAAAGATCTGAGCTAGTGAGCTTCCCCTTCCAGTAGGTTTCAAACAGTTTGGTGCTGCATTTGAATTTGTCAGCTTTTGTCCACTTTAAAAAGAAACAATGCCAAACTGAGTCACCAGCCCCAGGATGTTGACTGCACACGTTTCCCTTTCCGACTGGATTGAAAGTGACTGAAAGGGCAACAACTGCACTGCATTTATTCTTAATTCCCAACAGTGCAGATTATCACAAACCACTGTAATGCAGGTGTTAATAAAACTAGGTTTTACTAAAAAGGGTATACAACTTATATATGTGTTTTTGCCAGTTGTGTTGTGAATAAGAGTGTAAATCTGGGAATAGGCGGCTCAGAGGATAGCACATGCCCTGCAGGGAGAGGGTGAGGTAATGCAGATGTTTGTTTCAGACCCTGTGCTTGAACCGGTTGGGGTCCCTGTTCTCTTTGCGGCTCAGGTCGATGAAGTAGTGCGTGGCTCGGGCCGAATCCTCCGGGGTCATGTCCCACATGATGCGGAAAGAGTCGCAGGTCACCTCGCAGATCTTGATGTTGCACGGTGTGGAAAGAGGGGCGTTCATCGCTGTCATCTGCCATTAGAAGTGGAGATATAAGTGAATATGAGCTGAAACACGGACACGCGCCTGGCAGTACATGATACGGGCCAAACCTACTGAAAGATGGTCACAAAAAAAAAAAAAACAACTTTGTGATGAACTCACTCCAGACAGAATTGAATTAGCTGCTCATTACAGGGTTTGTGGTTCACTCTCTGAACTGTTTTTCCACTCCACCTCCCTTCCCTTGCCCTCAACTGACACTTCCCGTCATTACACAACTCGGTACGCTCCCAGCTGAGTGAGTGGTCTCTGTTTTTCCTTCTGCATTTCATAATCCACCTCCAGCAGTCTCCAAGCAACCGTACATCAGCTGCCTGGCTCCTCCTGGGATTCTCATGGAAGTGGCCACAAACAGGCACTTCTGCACGTGTCAGCAGCAATCAAACTACAGCAAGCTTATTAAACGTTTTGTCCTCTTTCTTATGCTGTAAGCAGAAAAAAACTGAATGGGTCGATTCAAGTTGCTTTTGTGTGAATGTAGAAATAAGGAGGTTTAGCAGCTGCAGGTGATGTCTGATCCCTGTCAGGTGCACTGGTCAGTTTGTGTTTATTTCATCAGCACATGTACGAGAGTCAAACCTTGATTTGAATCCCATCTGCATCTCTACACCTCGACATCAAAGCAGCACATCTTTTCCCCCCTCCCGACTTAAAAGCCTCTTTTCCTATTGATTCAAAGATGTGGCTAAGAATAGCACACTCATTTTGTTGCTTGTGATCCCACACATGCCCGGTGTACAGTGGAGTCAGTTTTCTGACCGCTGGGTCTGCTAAGGAGCTCTGCAGTCAGGATGATGGACAGCCTGCATCAGCTCATTAAAGCCCGTGAACTGTGAAATTTGTGATATAGCTCGTTCACACGGGGGGGTTGAGGTGGGTTTGTGCAGGAAGGAAAGAGAGAGCTCCTTCATCATGTGTTGTCTCTTTGAGGCTGTTTTTTTCCAGCTGCATGCTCCCCTTTTCTAAGCATGAAGTCTTTTCCCAGCGACAGAAATTGGGGCAAGAGCAGATGCTCCCAGGACGAGTAATCAAAGCCCCCCATCTCAAAGCCACCTCCTCCCCACCCCCCCATGGGCACTATGGCTCTGCACTGAACCCAGTTCAGACGCAGGTCTCAGCATCATTCACACAATCCCACTGCCCTCGTTTAGAAAGCGAGTGAGAAAGAAGAAAAGGAGCTAATTATCTCCAATACGATATGATGGACAGCTGTTCCAAATAAGGCAGCTGGTGTTAACTGATAATTATAATGAGTTCTTCTGGCATCACAAATCATAATTTATGCAAACACGCCTGCACCAGAACCCACGGCGCACAAACATACGCTGCAGCATGTGGAAAATACAGTGAAATACATTCTGAGGTCTGGAGGAAATGGAAAAAGGAAAAGTGTTTATGAGTTTGTGTTCAAAGCTGAAGGATTGTTGCTCAGTGAAGTGAATCAGGCAGCTGTTAGAGATGAACTGAATTAAGCATTAATGGGATAATGTCAATACAGTGAGCATTCAGTGCAGCTGCATGGAAACACAAAGGACAACCGATCTGAATCCTCAAAGTTGGAAAAACACGTTATCATTAAAACGACCTGCCAGTAAAACTCATTTAATATCACAAAAATCAGTTGTTATCAGCTGATTGTCTCGTCCATAGAGAGATGCACAAATGCAACATGGCGAGCTAAATCCATGGGATTGTTCTGAAGATTAAAAAGTTCACATACAGTAACAATCACAGGGATTTATAATCCTGAGGTCTGAAGCATCAATGAGCAATTGTTATATAGGAGCAGTCCTCACTTGTTTGAAGCTCGTCTGATGGGAAAAGGATACAGCAGCAGCTCTGAACTGCACTTTCTTCTTCTTCTCCTTTTCTTTCTCCTTGTCTCCACTGATGCTGCAGGAAGAGGCTCTTCAGGGAAAACTGATCACAGGAGGTGAAGCAAACACACTGGATTCCTCTTTCCCTCTTCCTCCCCGACTGTTTCTCTCCGTATCACACAAACAGACTAACCCCCACCTCCCCCTGCCATCC